CTCCTCCCTGCCCTTTCCAAGTCCACTGAGAAGGGAGAACCTTCTCCCCTTACATCTGATACTGGTTTATCAGGTGTCTTCAGGACTGGCTGCAAAGTCCTCGTCTGTGGCCTAGCAGGACTGCTCCTCCCTTGTGGGGTGGGAAGGTCAAAGAGCCCACCATTGAGTTCATGTCAGAAACAGTCCCTGTTCCCCTTATTGGCGTACCCACTTGAATACTGAGCTACCAAGGGCTACATCTGAGCAGGGGCTCTAGGTTGCATCCATACATGGTCCTTGTTTGAAGAAACAGTCTCATAAAAGACCCCTGTGCCCAGATATATTTGGTCCTTGTGGAGCTCCTGTCCTCTCAAGGTCAGGAGAGGACCTCCGCCACCTCCCTCCGTTTTTTTGTTTGTTTTGTTTTGTTTTGCATTCTGCTGGAAGTTTGGTTATGAGTCTTAATATCTTCTTTAATACACTGCTAGGTAGAGGCTTTCAGAGGCCCTCAGTGGTAGGCTCTATAAGATAGGATAAATATACTGAAATCTATCCACCTAAAGGAGGTAAACAAGAAAGAGGACCCAGGGTTAGATGATCAGTCCTCACTTAGAAAGACAAATGGGATGGACGTTGGATGTAGGAGCAAACAAATGCTTGAACTCTTGCCTAGGATGTATGTGGCCATGGTTTAATCACCAGTGCATGCACACGTGCACACACACACAAATCATTATAAAAATAAAATAGAATAAATGTCTTCTTTTAAACACTAGCTCAGTAAGCTGATAGCAAAAGTAGGAGTTAGTGATTGGTGCTTTCTATTTATACAATGAGCGTGAAAATATTAAATTTTGCATATTGTATTTATATCTGATTTTCTTTTCATGTAAACTGTGATGATATTTTGTCATTAGTAAAGAAATCAACCTCTACAAGCTTCTGACATGGTCATTTCACATTTCACATTGAAAAATGTCCACATAATCCTATTTTATCCATTTGGAAGTGAATTTTTCTCAGTATTTTAATTAAATTTGAATTCCATGTGTTTCATTTCTGTAATCAGATTTAGATATTTGAGGATTTCTGTATGGAATTGAAAAATCTTTTAATGTTTATATCATAATCAACTAAAATATTTGAAAAATTTAGAATTGCAAGTATACTATATTCAATAATTAATTTTTCAAATTTGACATGCAAATAATAATTTTATGTGTTAAACTAAGTTTCATTATTGAATTACCTGAGATAAACAATTTCCATGGTAGAAATTCTTAGCTTGGACACTTTTGGGGGTTTTAGCACTACATTGGCTATATTGCTTTAAGGGCGGTGGCAGAAAGTGTACCATGGCAAGCAGCACAGGTAAGTGTGTATGTCTGTGGTGAGTTAATTATTGCAAATAGTATACTTACAATTCTAACTGCTTCAAAAACGTTAACTGATTGCTTCCCTGAAAACAGACGTCCCTCTCCTCAGAAATGTCAATTGTCTCATTACTAGAGGGGTCACCATGACACTAATGGAGTGTTACCTTATTACGAGCACACTTTGTTAGTCTACAATGTGTAAAGAGTAATTTTCTGGAATATTCTAATACGATAAGAATATGATAAAAGTAAAATGTAATATAACCCTCAGTTTTTAAAATGAGTTTAGATATGAAGTTGATGCTGATGTTAGAAAAATTATTGAAATGACTGAGTTTATGAGTGAGTCTGTGATGAGGTTAATACTAAAATGAGAATATATTTATGAAAAATGTGATTATTTAAAATTAGGAGTGAGTTTTTCACTTATAAACTATCGCACAGTTTCTTTTATCAATTGGACTTTTCTTTTATGACAGTAGACTTTGCATTTAGGATATTTGTGAAACTAATCTACTTTATATGAAAGAAACTGAAATATTTTAACCATTAAATCACAAAATACTTGCTTCACGAAACATATATTAATCAGAGTTGGTTAAAACGTTCAGTATAATTAATTTAACATACCTTTAAAATATTTTAAAGTATCTACGTTTTCAGATTTATTTCATTAAAAAATCATATCCCCATCTGTAAATATATTTAACTAATTATGAGAGTTGGAAACTCAGCAATCATTATTTTAAATGATGAAATAATTTCTAATTGAATAAATATATTAAATATTTTATTAATGGTAGGCGGGGGCAAGAATCACTTAAATACACGTTTAAACAGAGTTTAAACACTAATATCTAGTGGAGATATTATTTGTGTTCTTATTTTCTATACTATACTTAAGTGAATAAAAACTAAAGATTTGACTCTCACAAGTGAAGAAGAATTAACAAGCAGGGCCTGATGCGTTGGCCTGTGCCATAAGCAATGTTCAATACTTTAATTTTTATTGCAGTGTCTAGCAAGTCCCCAAGTGCCTAGTACTTCATTTAAAAAATATTGTCAATTTCCCAAAGTTTGAACATTTTCAATTAAAATAGCATTTTATTTTATTACTTGTTTAATTTTTATGCTTTTTCTTTTTCTTTTTTTTTTTGCTCTTTTTCTTCTTTTTTATTTTTAATTTATTTTTTTATTTTTTTTATTTTATTTTTCTTTTTAGTTACATTTTGTTAACTCTGTGTCCCAGCTGTATCCCGCTCCCTCATTCCCTCCCCAACCCCACACTCCCTCCCTGGTCTCCTCCCTGCCCCTTTCCAAGTCCACTGATAGGGGAGGACCTCCTCCCCTTTCATCTGACCCTGTTTTATCAGGTATCTTCAGGGCTGGCTGCAAAGTCCTCCTCTGTGGCCTAAGAGACTGCTCCTCCCCTGGGGGGGGGGGTGTCAAACAGCCTGCCCTTGAGATCCTGTTAGAAATAGTCCGTGTACCCCTTACTTTGGAAAACTACTTGGTTACTGAGCTACCACAGGCCAC